GTTTTTTGCGCCGTTTGTTTTTTTTACTTCAAAATAAGAATTACGTGCAGTGTGCCCATAGAATTTCTGTTTCATAGTTTTTTATAACGCTACTAGTCCGCCCGCCAGCGCGCTCTGAGGACAGCCTGAACTGGCCCCCCCGTGTTGTAAAAAGTTTTGAGGAGCGCCCCTGCCCTAGCTCACACCAGTCTTGCAACAGACACAGAGCACCTTGCATTCCATTTTTTTGTACTATAACCTGATCAGCCACCAAGGCCCGAAACCTTATTCTCACGGGTGGCCCGTGCATCGTTTTCGCCCCCACGTTAAGTAATGGAGGAAGCCCCGTTCTGACCAGGCCCCGCTGCTACGCGCAGCTCACTCCCGCCTGCCAGCCCCGCGTTGAGCCGTGGTGGTCGTACGACCACGCTGTTGTCCTCCTGCTTGTCACAGTCTCTGTGTGTGTTTCTCCTGTTGTCTCTTGTAGGTAGCCTCCTTGACAAACACAGTTTTGTTTGTTGTGTGTGTGTCGTGAGAGACATGCTGGGCTTTTTGTGTGAGGTGTGACCCCCTCCGCGAAAGATTGAAGCCTGAGCAACAGACCAGAGCCTCCTCCCCTCTCAAAGACAGTGTTGTGTATGCCCCGCGCAGCCTGCACACAGAAGCACGAAAGCTTCTGCGCTTCGCCGCCGAGAGACACCGCCGCCACTCGCCCTTTGCAACGTCCGCGGGCACACCGCCCACCGCAGCTGTGAGACCTGTCAGGAGGCGTGTGTCTGTGTCCCGGCCTCTAGCGCCAGGATTGTATGCGTTCCCGGAGAAAGCGGAGGACGCTCGACAGCGAGGGAGGATGCACACTGGCTAAGCACAGCGGGCCGCCGCTTGGCGCTCGCGGTCAGCCTGCTCAGCTCCAGCCCACGCCCCCAGCAGAAGCGTTTTCCCTTGGAAGGGAGAGCCGCGCTCACCCGCCCCGGCTGTGCTGCCGAGCATTCTCGCCCTGGAGCTCCGTCTGACTCCTGAGTCGACCCCCTGCCCGTGCTCCAGCGCCCGCGGCTGTGTCTGAGCTGCTCTAGGCAGTCCAGGGACCCGCGGGACCACCCCTGCAGATCGCGGGTTGCAGCGATCTGACTGTGCCGAGCCCGCCCGCATTGCACCAACCCCACCCTGCGGGGCGCACGCTGGTGTGAGCCTCGCTGCACTGCAGCCCTGAGCCTGTCGGCTGACGCTTCCCGTGCTGTCCCCCAGCCCAGGTCCCCCTCTCTTCTTCCCAAGGTGAAGGAGACGTGTGACGTGGCTTCGGGTTCTGTCCCTTGAGTGTGCCTCGCCTGATGCCCCCTCCCACCCCAGAGGTGGACGAAAGCCCCCAAGAGTGTGCCGCCCGGGAAAGTGGGGTCACAGCCCTGGACCCTGGACACAAGATGACCACTAACATAGCCCACGGCCACACTGTGCACTGTGACGGCCGAGCCACCCTGGGGGCTGGACTCAACGTGATTTGGGGGGGTCTCTCCCATCCCAGATCTCACTGCTCAGCGGTGAGTCTCAGAGTCACTGGCACCTGCTCTGGCTGGGAGGGGGCGGGGCTCTGGCTGGGAGGGGCGGAGCTCTGGCTGGGAGGGGCAGGTAGGACCCGCCCACTAGCTCCTCCCGCCACCACCCCCGGGGCCCACGCGGCGCAAACCTACTGGCCGATGGGGAGGGTGCGCCCGCTGTGGTCCAGGCCGCCGGGGCCCCAGATCCTGTTGTCCACCATCTCCGTGCCCACGTTGCCGCTCTCGCCCACGAACAGGCTGTTCTTCACCTCCTGCTTGGAGCCGTCGTCGTACGGGAAGGTCCCGCCGCTGGGGAGAGGCCTTGGGGTGACGCGGGCGCCCCGACGAGTCCCGCCCAGGCCCCGCGCCGCGCCGCCCCCGTCTTACCTGGCCAGGGTCAGGCCGATGCCGTTGTCGGCGAACCTGGGACGAGAGCAGGCGGTCAGCGCGGCCCGCCGCCTCGCCCGTGGGGCCCGGGGGCCTTCCCGCCCCTGGACGCCGCGGGGCGCGGGCTTGGCACAGGTGGGGCTTCGCCGCCGGCGCGTGTGCGCAGAGGGCGTGTCCCGGGTCCCTCCCGCGCAGCCTCTGACCCCAGAGAGAACACGGTGGCCGCCACGGCTCTCGGCCTTCGGTGGTGCCACGTGCCCCTCCCCCACGCCCCCTCTGCAGACAGCGGCATGAACCCCTCCCCCCACGCCCCCTCTGCAGACTGCTGCACGAACCCCTCCCCCTACGCCCCCTCTGCAGATGGCGCCACGTGCCCCTCCCCCATACCCCCTATGCAGACTGCAGCACGAACCCCTCCCCCCCACACCCCCTCTGCAAGTCCAGGGCTGGGTGGGGACTGGCCAGGAGGAGCGGGAGCACTTGCCGCTCTGGGTGAAGGTGGGTGGGGGGTGCGGCTCCGTCTTCCCTGCCCGTCCTCGCCTCCACTTCAGCCCCAGCAAGACCCCAAACAGCCGATTCCCGGCTTCCTGGGGCCGGGCAGATGATGGCTCCGAGGACGGCAGGAGTCATTGCAGGGGCCCTGGGGCCGTCTCGCCAGCTCCCTTTGGCCTCTGGCCTTTCCAAGGGTCAGGGTGCCATGCTCCGGGGACGTGGGGCCGTGAGTGACCGGGACCGAGCAGTCTGAGCCACCGCAGACAGCAGGGCCAGACGGGGCGGCCACCTTCGTTTCCCTCCTCGCAGCAGGGGCAGGTGGAACTGACTGGTCTCCTGGGCTGGCCGCTCTCACCTACGCACCCTGCGTCCCCTTCCCCACCTGCTTCCGGAACCTTCCGTGGCGCCTATCACCCCCAAGCCCCACTCAGGGCCCCGGCGAACCCTCTTTTCCCTCCCGTGAGCCACGCCTGTGCCTTCCGGAAGCCCGTCCAGCCCGGGCCCTCACGCAGGGCGTCCCCTCTCCAGTTTTGTCCCAGAACTTCCCGGTCCTCCTCTCCCAACCCCCTTCATGGCCTTTCCTGTCACTGATGTCACCCAGCGCCCCGACCTCGCCCCATCCTGCCCCTGGGCACCCCACGGGGACTCGCACTCCCACCACCCATCCTCGCGTGGCTCTGAGATCAGTCTGGTTTCCTGCCCGCCCTTCCACAATCTGGGCATTTCCACTTCCCGCCGGTGCACACGCAGCGCACCCGACCAGGCCAGAAACGCCACGGCTGTCCCCCACCCGGCCTGCCCGCCGCTCTGGAGCCTCGGTGTCAGCCACGCTCCCACCACCCGGAGCTCACTCTCCTCCCGGCCCTGCGGCGGGGCCTGAGCTGGTCTTCCCGCCGCCAGGAGCACCCCTGGGGTCACCGTGGTGACCTTTCTGAAGCGGTCACACGGGTGAAGGCCCGAAGTGCTCCAAGGGCCCCCCGTCTTCCGTGAGCCCTGCCTGCACCCCCTCGTCCACCCGCAGGCCCCGGCCTTGGTGCCGGCCACGTTCTGGGCGATCTTAGGCGAGTCCGGCAGAGACTAAAAGCTGCGTCCACGTTGGCAGGTGGGTGGGGGAGTGTCACAGGTTTTCGTGCTGCCCCAAATCTGGCCTCCCCTGTCTCTGCAGAGCCCTCGGGTCCAACATGCTCAACAAACCAGGACCAAGGAACTCGCTGGACGGAGAATTTCAGTGTTGGCGCCTCCCTGTCTCTCTCCCACCCGGGGCTTCAGCCACCCCTGCACCCTGCCTCTCCCAGCGCCCCCAGATGAGCAGCTGGGCGGCTCATCCCACCCACGGGCGTCGCCTGTCCTGGGAGCTCTCCCCTCCCCCTCCCCCGCAGCGCACCTGCCCAGGCTGCGACTTCTCCCCCAGAGCCCACCGGACGGCCGCACCCCTGCCTGCCCCCAGAAACCCAGACTGGCTCCTCCTCCCGCCCGGCTTCTCCAGACCAGGACGGCCCTTTCCTGGACACGGGGGAGACCCTCTCTGCAGGGAGGGTGCCCCGCATCCCCCGTCTGCATCTGCCCGTCCCCCAGATCTCTGCTGTCCTCTCCCCGTCGACACCAGGTCTCTGTTCCCTCCTCTTGCACTTTTCACTTCCCCCCCCCTTTCTTTTTCCTTTAATGTGTCACAATAAAACGGAGGAAATAAATACATTTATCTCCAGCATGGAATTTCTGATCCCCCATTTTTTTTTTTTTTTTAGAGACAGAGATCTCACTCTCTTGCGCCAGGCTAGAGGAAGTGCCGTGGCGTCAGCCTAGCTCATAGCAACCTCAAATCCGGGCTCAAGCAATCCTCCTGCCTCAGC